CTCGACGGCAGCGCCAAGACGCTTCCAGCAGCATCACACATTCATTCAGTGTGGACAAGGTCCTTTTTTAATCTTTGATTTTCAGCAGATGATGCACATTCTCACTAGGATACCCCACAACCACCGCAAATCCAGTCACCATCTTCAGCAGTTGTTGACCAAGCAGCAGCTGTAGCCGGTCCAGAGTTTCAGAGCGGCTGAACAGAGAGCAGCACGCCCTGCCTCGGGTTAGTGTCTGTACATTTTCCCCCTCATCCACACAGTTGGGAGAGCCAGCGCGGTGCAGCGGTTATGGTGTCAGATGCGGATCCGTGACGGTCCACTTCAGAGCCCCACACTGCCGGGGCAGCTTGCCGGGTGACCTTGGGCCAGTCCCAGACACTTTGCCTAACCTACCTCACAGGAGGAGCGGAGACCGTTGGGTCCCCACGGGGAAGAAAAGGTGTGGGGGGGACCAAGAAAGCCAATAAATAAATAAAAGTGTTGCCGGCTGAACCAGCCGTCTCCCATCTAGCTCTAGGATTCCCACGGACGACTCCCCGTGTCAGGACCACTGCTCCACAGGGGCCCCAGTGGATGGCAGCAGGAGGGCTGGGGGGGCGACTGCCCCCACCACCCAAAGCCCTTGATGATTCTTCCTATGCGTACGGGGGGAGTGGGCCATGCACGTGGGAGCAAGTGAGGCATGGAGGTTTTGGGTTTGGGGTGAACACTGCAGGTTCCCCTTGGTCAAGTCAAGGGGGACAAGCAGACAAGCGTCCCGCCTCCCCTCCCGCTCGCTGGTGCAGCAGTAACAGGAAGCAACAAATCAGCAGCAGTCCCAGGCTCAGGTAAAGCAGCTCTTGAAGCCAAGGGAGGGCCGCCCCCCCCCCGTCTCCCCTCTTCCAGGAAGACGCTCCTCGTCGCATCTGAGTCAGCACAGAGTGTGCAGGACCACTCCTCAAGTAGTGCACAGGATCTGGGGGAGGGGAGGCTGTCAGTTGAGTCTGGGGGTGTGTGTGTGGGGGGGTTACAATAAGGGCCGCCAGCAGCCCTTGCGACTCACGTGGGGGCGAGGAGCACAGAGGCAGAAGTGGGCCGAGACAGAAAAAGGTGCTTTGGCGACAAGGGCGCGTGGGAGGGAGGGAGGGGCTTGGCTACTTGCCGAGGGCCAGCCCGTGCAGGGATTCCACGTAGGAGAGGGCGCTCTGCAGAGAGGTCAAGCAGTAGCCTTCCTCACCAATCAGGTACCTGCCACGGGAACAAGAGAGACCGCTGTCAGTGCTGCAGGGGAGGGGGGGTTCCTGCTTCCCCCTCCGGCAGAGCCTTGTAACGAAGATGGATGCTTCCGGCAGCTGCTGCCTGAGAAGACACTAAATACAACGGGACCACGGAGATACTAAGTACAATAACAAAAACAAAATGCCCCATGGAGAGAACATATTGCTCCGGGTCAAATACCACTACAGTGTTACTTAAAGGCATGTGTCTCAAACATAACCGCTTTGCCGTAAGGAGTGTAACGAGCCCTTGTGGGAGCATGATAAGGCATGCAAAGTGTGTAAACTGTGTGGTTCCATATGAATATACTGGCTCTGAAGAAGCAGAATCGAAACTCTCGGCCGACAGGAGACGTCAGCCCCGTTTCTCGGCCTCCCTGCAGACCTGAAAGTTTGAAATGAAGAAACAGCGAAGAAGATTACCGTGTTTTCAAGAACTGTACGCAGCCCATTTACTGGTCTTGCTTTAGGAAGGCTTCTTTATACTTCTGTATTTGTTTCATAGTGCTTTAATCAGCAATAAGTACGTGTGGATCATACTAAAAGATTTACTGTTTAATCTCCATGCATGATTTTCTCATTTATTATGTTTGAGACATATGCCTTTAAGTAACACTTTAGTGGCATTTGACCTTGAGCAATACAGTCTCTCCACACTGCCTGAGAAAAGGCAGTGAGGCCAAAGCCTCCCTTTGGCCCTCCTGACGGCTAGATTCCCGGCAGGCAGCGGACAAGGCTGGTTGTTCAAAGCATTGAAGAAAAGGGGTGGGGGAGGGGGCAGTGGACGCCCTGAAAGGCTGCAGAGGGGATGCCCCGCGGGACCGGAGGCAGAGACAGGTGAGGCTCGGCCGACAAGGCTTCAGTGCCCTCCAGAGAGGGGGGTACTTAATTTGGAGAGCTGCAGGCATGAAGCGGGCTGGCTCTTCCCGGTAAGCAAGCAGCTCTTGCGCATGCAGGGCTGCAAGGAAAGGCTTCCAGGAAGAACTCGGCCAGAGCACGGCCAGGAAGAGGTGGACCCGATCCGGAGCTGTTCTCCAAGGCGGCTGCAGAAGCCACTCAAGGGCTGCCCCCGACTCCAGCCCGTCTTGCTGCCGAGCTGCCGTCCCCACGCCTGTTTTGTCAGATTAAGTCTCGCCCGCCTCCTGCGCTGGGTCTCGCTCAGACGCCTTCGGGGGCAGGCCGCCTAAGTGAAGCTGAGAGGATGAGATGGCAGGGCACGTAACGCCCTTCCCCCCACCCCTGCAGGCAAATCGGGGAGCTCTGCCGTGGCCCTGGTGCTGTCCTTGTCCGTCTTCAGCCAACTGGAGGAAGAAAGGCTGAGGGCACCAGAGATCTGTGGGTGGGGAAAGGGGGGCCAGACCTCCCCCCCACAAGACACACTCCTCCTTCAGGACTCCACCGCAAGCCGGGTGTGTTCGGGAAGAAGATAGCTGATACCCTGCCCCTCCCCCCTGCTCCATGAAGGAGAGGCAAGAGGCAAGAGCCCCCCCGCCCCCCCCCCCAAGCCGGCTGGGAGATTCCAGGGGCGGGCTCTGCGCCTACAAAAGTCTCATCCGGTTCCCAGCAAAGTCGGTGACAGGCTCCCAACAGAGATTCATCCCACAGCAGGGTGGGGGGGGGGGGGTAGATGCCACTGGTTTCAATGAAATCCGTTTCCAAGAGCACACGCAGAAGGTTTGCAGCGACAGTTTGATTCTGTTCGCACCCTAAGCTCTGCATGTATACCGCAGCCCTATCTGGACCAGTACTCCCTCTAAGCTGAGTTAGTGTGCGCTAGCTGACATTTTTTTAGCCTTCAGCTCAGACATTTTTGTGTTAGCTCAGGAAGGATGGCTCCAGAGCAGGCTAATCTGTGCAGTAGCCATATCACTTGCTCACAACTTTGATGCCAGTAGTTCACAAAGTAGAATTCTTGCTCACAGGATTCTACAGCTTAGAGAGAACATTGGTCAGGGAAGGCGCCTGCAACTTGACACGCCGCCACTGCCACTGGACACTGCTGCCGGGTTCCAAGCAGAAAGACCGTGCCACTGCCGCGTGGTCTACGCCCCCAAGGGCTTCAAACGAATCCCCTGATTTCTGAGCAGGATGGCCTTGTTTTTGCCTCCTTCATTGACAAAGAAGCCCCCCCCAAGGCTGCTGACAGCCCCCTCCCCCCCTTCCCT